GATGGTATCTCATTGTTGTTTTGATTTGCATCTCTCTAATAGCTAATGATCGTGAGCATTTCTTCATATGTTTGTTGGCCGCTTGAATATCCTCTGGCAGAAGCTTTTTGACATTTGAAGGAGAGATCATCAGAAACCACATTACTCATCAGAATAACTGCAAATATTTTCCAAGCCCTTTGCTCTATTTTCAGATCTGGGAAATTGGTTTGAAATATTTCAGATCTATGGTGACTGCAAACTTGAACTTTAAGCTTTGCTACATTAGGTAACTTGGAACAAAGGGTCAGTGTTAGTGACCTAGAGATTCAGATGCTCGTTTGAAATCTGAAAACTGGAGTGATGACTTCTAAGGGCACAAGGATGCCACAAGCAAAGCTTAGGACAAGACATGGGGAATGATGACTATCTTGATTGTCTGGTGGTACAGTGGTTAAAGCATTTGGCTGCTAACCTAAAGGTCAGTGGTCAAACCTACCAGCCACTCCATGAAGAAAGATGGGGCAGCCTGCTTCCACAAAGATTCACAACCTTGAAAATCCAGTGGGGGTCACTATGAGTTGGAGTCAACTCGATGACAGTGAATTTGGTTTGGTTTATCTTGATTCTAGAAGAAATCATTGTTAGTTGCCATTGAGATGGCTCTGATTTGTGGTAACCTTATGTATAACAGAACAAAACACTGCCCAGTCCTGTGCTATCTTCATGATGGTAGCTTTGAGTCCATCGATGTGGCTATTGTGTGGTCCTTACAATCCAGGTGGCTCAACTAACAGTATTATATTGGACAATATTCTTTTGTGAGCCATAGATTTTTCTTTGGTTGATTTTTGGAAATAGATCACCAGGACTTTCTTCCTAGCCTTGAACTTTAAGCTTAGTCTAGACGCTCCATTGAAACCTGCCCACTGTGGGTGACCCAGCTGGTATTTGAAATGCTAGTAGCATAGCTTCCAGCATCATACTAACATGTAAGCAACCATAGTATGACAGACTGACAGATATATTACTGTGATTTATAGCTCACAGTTTTATCATGTGAATAGCCAATACTTACTGACACCTTACTCTGAAGCTCTTCACATCTGTTATCCTCACACCTCTTCCCTGGGGGTGCTGTTTGCTGTCTGGGGTCGTGGATGAGCCTCTGAGTCTCCACTGCCCAAGATCACACCACTAGTAAGTGAGCTGCAGGAGAATCTCAAATCTGTGGGATCCATCATCTGAGCTCTTAACTAATTGACATTTTGAGAGCATATGAAAAATAGAACTCTAGGTTTCTGCTATTTATGCAATGTAGGTTCTTCTAGAAAAAAAATTATAGGCTCTAATTGAATTTCAGGGCTGGAATAAAATGTTTAAAGCAGTATTTAAAGCAAAATGCTCTTCCTTTGGTTCAGGGTCATAGATAGACTTGGTTCCCACCAGGCCTGTTCTTTGACAAGGCTCTATTGGCCACCTGCTTCAGTGATTCCAACCTCAAACCAAACTCACTGCTGTCGAGTTGGAGTTAGGTCACACAAATTACCTGTGGGTTATTTGTCTTAGGTTCCTCCTAGCAACAGCTTTGGGAGTCATGGAGATACATTGTCCATCCCTGGAGGACTAGGCAGGCAACAGACTATGCCCAGGAGCTCATGAAGGAGTGGGGCACCTTGTCTCTAACTGTGGGCATTGTGTTCCTTTGTTTCCAGCACTGGCAGATTCCCCTGAGCCGGCGGTTTCGCTCTATTAAACTCTGGTTCGTGATTCGATCCTTTGGGGTGAAGAATCTTCAGGCACACGTCAGACATGTATGTAGCTCTCAGGCTGTGGGGCTGCGCCTACGTGTAGCTCTATTTTCTAATGGGGAGGAAGGCTGGTCTCTGCTTTGCAGACCTGCCCAAGGGACCATGGCATCTGGCTCAGGTGTCTGGGCCTGCTCTTGGGCTCCTGGGGCTTGATTACTGAGGTGGCCATCTCTTTGTTAGCTTGAGGAACATTGAGCAGGATGTGACACTAAGGGCTGTCTGGTGTCTGTCCTCCCTGAGTACCTCATCATTTCTTCTGCTGCCATTGAGCACTGGGGATTGATGGCCCGAGAGCCTGATTTGCAGAGAGGGAGAAAGAGAAAGAAAATGAATTAGAAGGTAGTGCTTATAGCTAGGCTACAATCACATCTTTTCAAGAATTATCCTGATTGTCATGGCTTTCTGAAAAGTCACTATTACAGCCATAGGGGTCCCTAGGCGGTGCAAACGGTTAATGCACTCATCTGCTAACAAAAAGGTTGGAGGCTTGCACCCACCCACAGGTACCTTGGAAGAAATGTCTGGTGATCTACTTCAGAAAATCAGACCTGAAAACCCTACGGAGCACAGTTCTACTCTGACACATACAGAGTCAACATGAGTTGGAATCAACTTGACAGCAACTGTTTCTTCTTAATATTATTTATTTAAATTATAGCCACGCCTGAAACAGGGATCTCCTTTTCCCAGACAGATAGATCCACCAAACCTGGAACAAACATTCCGGCATTGTGTCAACAAGTATTTACTGAAGGCCTGTTTGGTCCAATTAATTTTAGTTCAACTCAAGAAAAATGACAAAATGATTATGCTAGGAAAGGGATACAGCGGCAAAGGAGATAGGCACAGTCCTGTCTTTTCGTTCTTCTTGGGAAGGGTGCGAGGTAATTCAAGAACATCAACCAGCAGTACTTTCCTCCCATTTTTACATGAGCCTATGAAAGACCAAGCTACTGACAAAAGCAGCAATGAACAACCTCATCAGGCAAAACATGCAGGCACTGTCTCTTACAACTGTGCCTGGATTTCCCCTTCTACCTTTCCCTCTGGGGAATTCCTGCTTCACTTAACAAACATATAACAAAATGAAATGTTGAAGCAATAACCATGACCAGCTTTACTGTTGGTGATTTCACATTTATAATTAGACATCAAAGGGTTCAATGAGTGTTTACCCTTGGATGGGCTGTCACCCAGCATATTGAGAGACTTGAGATACTTTGTACCTCTCTAGATCCTCAGACTTGAGAGCTTCAGGTTTAGTTCAAGACCTCAGGGTAGTGGGAGGTAAATGAGGCAGCGGAGGTTACACATCATCAAGAACATTCTTTCACTTACAACTCGGGACTGGACATTCACTGGCTAATCTTCCCGAACACTGCCTCCTGTGAGTCACACCATGATGCCTCCTGTGAGTCACACCATGAATTCCCATCAGCTTCCCACTGTCCACTGCATTAGGGTCTCACTCCTGGGCCTGGCTTTAATGGGCCTGATTATCAGCTTCTACCTTAACTTCATGGAGCCCTGGTGGCTCAACAGTTATGTGCTTGGCTGCCAACCGAAAGGTTCATGGTGTAAACCCACCCAGCAGCTCTGCGGGAGTAAGACCAGGTGATCTTCTCCCATAAAAACCACATCTTAGAAAACCTTATGGGGCAGTTCTACTCTGTCACATGTGGTCACTATGAATAGAAAATCAACTTGATAGCACCTAACAACAACAACAACTTAGCTTCAGTCTGGTCCAGTCAGTGCAGGCTTCTCACTGACTGGCCCATTCAAACCCCACACTCCAACCACCTCTGCACAAGACTTACGTGGTTTCCTTCCTAGAATGCCCTTTGCTTCTCCAAATGTTCATGGATAAGTTCTACTTTTTCCAGAAGCTTCCCTGCCTATTCCATCTGTCCTGGTCTCTGCGTCCTTGGCATTCCTAGTATCACCTACTTAAATATATTTATAAAACAGCTCAGGTGGCTACTTTACCCAAGATGCCACAACAGTATGGGGTGGATTTAAAACTAAGTTATTTCATGAAAGTTATTTTTCTTTCAACTCAATTGTAATCATCATCATTATTATTCGCATAGTGCTTTAAATTAAAAAAAACCCACCAAATTATAATATTTTATTAGATACTTACCACCATGCTTGGGTTGGTCACCATGATCAGCCCCATTTTCCAGGCAAAGTTTAGAGATGGTAATTATCTAGTTCAAGAGTTGAAAGTCTGGGACTTTACCTCTAGCTTCCTAATTCCAAATTCTTTTCCCACAGTCCTTGACTGCCTTCTATTACACTGTGCTCTTGAAGGTTATATAAGACTAAATTTTGTATTTCTCTGTTATAGAGTTGTGCTTTAGAACACAGGCTCTGGGTTGGATTTTCAGTTCTCCCTACTCCCCCCTACCCTTGCTATTTGGTGACCTTGGGCAGGTTACTTAACGTTTCTGTGCTTGGATTCCTAATCTGTAAAGTCGAAAAATGATAGTACTTCTTTCCAAAGCTTATGGGGACATTAAATGAGATAATATATATATAAAGTCCTTAGCATAAGGTCTAACACTCAGTTAAGCACTTAATGAATGCTTCTTTTTCTTTGCCTTCAACTCTGTCTACACTTCCTCTTCTCCTTCCACATCCTCCACCACCTCCTCCTTCTTCTTGTTATCATTATCATCATCTCCTATCATCTCTAATAGAGATCAAACTTTTTCTAGAAAAGGCCAGATAGTTTTGGCTTTGTGGGGCATATAGTCTCTGCCTTAACTACTCAACTTTGCTGTTGTAGCCTCAAAGCAGTCTAGATGATTTATAAGCACAAAGGCATGACTGTGTTCCAATAAACCTTTATTTACATAACCAGGTGGCAGCCTGGATTTGGTCTGTGGGCTACAGCTTGCTGACCTCTGACCCAGAATGGTGCAGGGCACTGAGAGCAGCACTGCCTTCATCACCCATGAGGTTGTTTTTGGTGGTGGGGATTCTGCCTGAACTCCATTTCCCTTCTCCCTTGACCTCTGTTTCTGTCTTGTTGCAAATAGTGTGTGTGGAGGAAGGCAGCACAGCATGGTGGGAGGAGAATCTGCTTGGCAACCAGGAGACCCACACTTGCACCTTGTGCGAGTCACTTTCACTCGGCTCCTCTGAGAAAATAGAGAGGTTAAACAAAGATGACTTCTGGATCTTTTTCTTTGCTCAAAAGAGTCAGTTTTATTGTTCTTAGCTAGCCCAATTTTAGGTCTGTACCTGAGACGTCTTAATGGGTCTCATGTGGATTTAAGAAAATTTACTCAGAAAAATATCAAAGTTGACAGAACAGGTGGGTGGAAATGGGCCTGTAGGGATGAAGGTACAGAAGGGAATCATGACAAAATTAGAAAATGAATTACAAAAGGATGAAACAGCCAGAAAACATTTAGAAAGTTACTTTATCAGAGAGGCTCTGGTAAAGTAAAATGAAATATTCTTGGGTCAGTGACTGGAGACCCTTTAAAGGTACCATGCAGTGGAGAAAGAAAGAAGAGGCTTCTGAATGAAGTTTCTAGCAATGAGTTTAATCATCCTCAGATGTGATTAGCTAAATCCTTTGTCTTCTTTTGAAATGTAGTAAAACAGAAAACAAAGACAGTTGTCCTGATTTGGTTCTGCCTCTTGGCAACCCCACATGTTTCAGGGTAGAACTGTACTCCACAGAGTTTTCAATGGCTGATATTTTAGAAGTATCTGCAGGCCTTTCTTTTAAGGTACCTCTGGGGGGACTTGAACTTCCAATCTATCAATTAGCAGTCAAGCACATTAACTGCTCCACCCAGGGACTCTTTGAAATATAGTTCGCATGAAAACTAGTTGATAGCAATTATTTTATTTTGTTGAAATCCTCCTGGATGCTTGGAGAAATTTTTTAAAAAAGGAAGAAAAGGCAAGTCCTACATGGTTAAGGAATTTGGCTGCTCACCAAAAGCCTAGTAGTTTGAATCCACCAGCTGTTCCATGGAAGAAAGATGAGATGGTCTCCTTCTGTAAAGATTTACAACCTCAGAAACTCAGTAGGGGTCATTGCTATCAGTAGGAATTGGCTCAATGACAATGGTTTGGTTTGATGCTCGTTTAGTGAATCATCTTAGATTTAAAAAAAATGCATAGGAAGCTTCACAAGATGGCATATACTTCAGTGAAAAATTAATATGGTATAAAGGCTTTTCCATGGTGTATGTGAGATGATATGTAAATATATGGTTTCTGTGCAATGTCAGGATAAAGAAGATGTAATGGCATTTGAACTACACAATGTGAAAAGGTTTGAGAGACAAGGGAAATATGAAGGCTTAGAATGGAGTCAAGGCTGTCAATAGCCCATGTGGCACCTTTGTATGCACTGGAAACAGATGTCTCTTCCTCTGGACAGATGCAGCCCATAATGAACACCTGGCTAGGAACACAGAGCACAGCCTGGGTTTTGGCCCTTGCTTGTCCCCTTGACCAGTCAAAAAGCTGTGAAGCTATTTCAAGTCAGATTGCCTGGATTGCAAAGCACATACATTCCAATTTTGGGGTGAGCCAAAAGAGGGCCCTGAGAAATAGGTTCATAAGGTGGATCTGATGTGACAAGAAATAGGGAGCCACTGGGTTTTCCATTTTGGAATAGGAGCTAAATCAAATGGAGAAGAACAGGTAGAACACACTTAGGTCTCTATGGTTCATTGGAGCCACTGGTTTAAACCCATTGAGTAATGTGAAAGTTGATACATAGTTTGCCCCTTGTCTGATTATTAATCTTGATTCTCTCTCGATTTACAATTCTAGGGTACTGAAATGGCTAAATATTTTGAATCTCTAGTCAGAAATGACCCTTTCTTTGAAATTCCTGCCAAGAGGCACCTTGGCCTGGTGGTTTTTCGTCTAAAGGTATTGCTATCTTCCATGAGCTCCTGTGAATGATGTTGCAGAGTTGGTGGTTGCTGGGCAACAGGGGTTGCTTACGGGACAGGTGACACAAACTTCACTTCTTTTTTCCCTTCAAACAGGGTCCTAATTGTCTCACAGAAAGTGTGTTAAAGGAAATTGCTAGATCTGGCCGTCTCTTCCTCATCCCGGCTACCATCCAGGACAAGTTGATCATACGTTTCACTGTGACATCCCAGTTTACCACCAGGGATGACATCTTGAGAGACTGGAATATCATTCGAGATGCTGCTACCCTCATCCTGAGTCAGCACTGTACTACTCAACCTAGCCCTCGGGCTGGGAACCTCATCCCCAAAACCAGAGCCATGACCAATGGAATGCCCCTTCAGTTTGTCAATGGTGCAGGAGATGACCCAACCCAGGCCAGGAAGGTCATCAAGCAGCCTCAACATGTGGGAGCCAGTCCTATGAGAATGGAAGATAGCCACCATCTTGAAACTCTTCTGGACCCACTTGATGACTGCTTTTTAGAAGAGGCCCCAGATGTCACCAAGAACAAGCTGTCCTCTTTCCTGTTCAGTTACTTGTCTGTGCAGAATAAGAAGAAGACAGTGCGTTCCCTCAGCTGCAACAGTGTGTCTATGAGTGCTCAGAACCCACTGCCGTTAGATGGCACCACAAAGAATGGAGGCTCCTCCCGAGTTAGAATTTTTTCTAGGCTTCCAGAAGAGATGATGATGCTGAAGAAAAGTGCCTTCAAAAAATTAATTAAGTTCTACAGCGTTCCCAGCTTTCCTGAATGCAGCCCTCAATGTGGGTTCCAGCTGCCCTGCTGCCCTCTGCAGGCCATAGTTTAAGCCAGGGGTCTTCAGCAAGGATCCATAGATGTGCTTATGGGAGTTTGTGAACCCCTCAAAATTGTATGCCAGATTTGTGTGCTATGTGTGTGTGCATTTTTCTTGGGAGAGAGTTCCTAATTTTTATCAGATTCTCCTAGGGGTTCATAACCTACTACAGGCTACAAATGGAGGGTTTAAGCTAGCATTGTCCAGAAGGTTCCAGCAGGCTGGTCAGAAAAAGAGCTTAAGGTAGTGGTCTGACAGGCAGCTTTTGTGGTTCAGCTTGTGACATGAAATACAATGTACAAATAAATTGTGCTTGTCTCTGAAACAAAACATGTCCTTTTGTGACTTAATCATCCTCTGAAATAACTATTAATTAATCTAAATAGAAGGTGTAGAGTTTCTTAAGGCTGTCCTAAGAAATGACCACAAATTGGGCAACTTATAGGAACAGAAATGTATTATCTCACAGTTCTAGAGGCCAGTAGTCTGAATTCAGAGTGTCAGCAGGGCCATGGTCTCTCCAAAGGCTCTAAAGGAAGAGCCTTTCTTGTCTCCCTGACTTCTGAAAAGGCACTCTTTGGCTTGCAGTTACAGCAAAACTCCATCATCACATAGCTGTCTTCCCTCTGTCTGGATCTCTTCTCCTTTATAAAGATACCATTCAGATTGGATTAAGACCCATTTTACTCTACTATGATCTCTTGTTAGCTGATAACACCTTCAGAGACCCTGTTTCTAAACAAGGTCACCTTCACAGGTACCAAGGATTAGGACTTCAACATATCTTTCTTGGGGACACAATTGAACCCATAACACAGGGCATGTTCTGGAACTTAAATGCATGTACCTTCTGGATTCTGCTTTCCAGGATTCTGAAGATTTGGATTTAACTGTGAAAAATGGGTTTGGATATTGGTATGAAGAAGGCAGGGAGCTTAAGTTCATAAGAATCTATGTTGTGTCAATCACTGTGTTTTACAAATAAGGAAACTGAGGCTCCAGATCACATAGCTTGTAAGTGAGCAAAGCTATGTCCCCCTGTCTTCAAAGCCCATGCTATTTCCACCACATCATACTGTTCACCAAGGAGCTCTGGTTGTAGTGGTTAAGGCATTTGGCTACTAACCCAAAGGTCAGTGGCTTGAACACATAAACTGTTCCATGGGAGAAAGATGGGGCTTCGGTAAGGAATTATAGCCTTAGAAACTCTATGGGGCAGTTCTACTCTGTTCTATAGGGTTGCTATGAGATGGAGTGGACTTGATGGCAGTGGGTGGGTAGATCTAAGATCTGAATATCAGTTAATAGAATATAATCCAGCCCTGAGGAACTGAATTGCATTAACTAAGTACACACAATGTATAACTCAGGATGCTTTTCTCAGTGATTCTCAAAATATCCCCCTTTCCCCAACAGTATCATCACCATCTGGGAATTTGCTAGAAATGCAAATGTGAACTCAAATTTCAGCTCTGGAGAATGAGACCCAACTCCTATGGTTTAACAAGACTTCCAGGTGATTCTCTTTGTTACAGTTTGACAATCACTGCTCTAGCTGAACCAGAAGACTCAGATCACCTATTTAGCTCTTTTTTTTTTTTTTTTTAATTTTTCTTTTCTCCCTATAGAAAGCTTACAGGGGGAACCAGATGTTTATTAAGGTTTCTTGATGAATAGGCAACAAATAATTATTGCCTACTAGACGGCACATAACAACAAGAACAACATAGGAGCTCTGGGAGCATAGTGCCTAAGGCACTTGACTGCTAACCAGAAGGCTGGTGGTTCAAACCCACCAGTCACTCCTCAGAAGGAAGGTTGGGCAATCTACTTCCGTAGTGATACCACCTTGGAAACTCAGGGAGGGGTTGCTATGAGTTGGGTCTGAATTGACGGCACATAACAACAGCAACAACAGGGATATAATGATGAGCAAGACAGACACAGTCCCTACCCTCATGGAGCTTATAGTTTCATAGAAGCATGAAGTCCCCTGAGCAATGGGAAATTGATGATATTTATGGATTGTATCATCACTATACCCTACAATATGATGCTCTGTGTGCCTTGGGGAGACAGCAGCCAAGCAGACTAGAATAGAAGGCTTGTGTTGTCCAGGCAGACTATCTTTCCTTGAATAGTGCTGGGGTGATGCTGAGTGAGTTTGTCTTTCTGCCTCTCTAAAGATTCCATGCAGCTCCACCAGCTGTAGTGACAAAACGAAAGTTAAAACACATGGAGAGGCCAACAGAAATAAAAAGAATAATACCAGGATACTATGAAGAACTGTACTCCAACAAATTTGAAAACCTAAGAGAAATGGTTAGATTTCTAAAAACATACTACTCACCTAAACTAACACAAACTGAAGTAGAAAATCTGAACAGAACCATAACAAAAGAAGAAATTGAACTGGTCATAAAAAAATTACCAACAATAACAAAAAAAGCCCAGATGATTTCATTGGAGAATTATACCACTCATTCAGAGAAGAGATAACCAATCCTACTCAAACTATTCCAGAACATAGAGAAGGACAGAATCCTCCCAGACACATTCTATGAAGCAAGCATAACCCTGATACCAAAACCAGGCAAAGACACCACTAGAAAGGAAAACTACACACCACTATCCCTCATGAATATAGATAAAAAAATCTTCAACAAAATCCTAGCCAATAGACTCCAACAACATATCACCAAAATAACACATCATGACCAAGTGGGATTCATACCAGGTATACAAGGATGGTTCAACATTAGAAAAACAATTAATGTAATCCATCACATAAGTAAAATAAAATAATCACATGATCATATCAATAGATGCAGAAAAGGCATTTGATAAAATCCAATACCCATTCCTGATTTAAAAACTCTCAGAAAAATAGGAATAGAAGGGAAATTCCTCAATATAATAAAGGGCATATATGCAAAAACAATGGGAGCACTGGTGGCATAGTGCCTAAGGCATTTGACTGCTAACCAGAAGGCTGGCAGTTCAAACTCACCAGCCACTCCTTGGAAGGAAGACTGGACAATCTACTTCCATAGAGATACCACCTCAGAAACCCAAAGAGGGGTCATTATGAGTCAGAATTGACTTGACAGCAGTGATTTTGTACAACATTATTCTCAATGGAGAGAGACTGAAACCATTCACCTTGTTAACAGGAAACAGACAAGGATGCCCTCTCTCCACTTCTATCCAACATTGTATTGGAAGTCGTAGCCAGAGCAACAAGGCAAGAAAGGGAAATCAAAGGCGTCCAGATTGGTAAGGAACAAGTAAAACTATTCCTATTTGCTGATGATATGATCCTATATATAGAAAACCCAAAAGACTTAGCAAGAAAATCACTAGAATTTCTTGAAAGATTTAGCATAGTGGCAGTATACAAGATCAACATACAACAATCATTTGGATTCCTCTACACCAGCAAAGAATTCTCTGAAAAGGAAATCAATATTATTTACAACAGCTACCAAAAAGCTAAAATACTTGGGAATAAATCTTACCAGGAACACAAAAGACCTATGCAAAGAAAACTACAAAACATCACCTCAAGAAACTATAAGAGATCTACATAAATGGAAGAACGTACCATGCTCATGGATAGGAAGATTGAACATTGTGAAAATGTCAATACTACCCAAAGCAATTTATATGTTCAATGTAATCCCAATCCAGATGCCATCAACATTTTTCAAAGACATGGAAAAACCAATCACTAATTTTATATGGAAAGGAAAGAGACCTCAGATAAGCAAAGCACTATCGACGAAGAAGAACAGAGTAGGAGGTCTCACACTCCGAGATCTCAAAACCTACTTCACAGCCACAGTTATCAAAAAAGCCTGGTATTGATACAACAACAGACACATACACCAGTGGAACAGAATTGAGAACCTAGAAATAGATCTATCTATCTATGGTCAGTTGATCTTTGACAAAGGGCCAAAATCCATTCAATAGGGAAGAGATAGTCTCTTTAACAAATGTTGCTGGCAAAACTGGATATGTATCTGCATAAAAATTAAATAAGATCCATACCTTATACTGTACACAAAAACTAACTCCAGATGGATCAAAGCCTTAAATGTGAAATCTTAAACTATGAAGTTCATCAAAGGAAAAATAGGGGCAAACTTAGGGGCCCTAATTTATGGCATAGATTATCAAGCATAACCCAAGATGCACAAACAGCAGAAGATAAACTACATGACTGGGACCTTCTAAATATTAAATTCTTATGTGCATCAAAGGACTTCTTCAAAAGAGTGAAAAAAGAACCTAAAGAATGGGAAAAAATATTCAGCAATGACATATCAAACAAAGGACTTATCTCTAAAATTTATAGAAAATTCCATCACTTCAACACCAAAAAGACAAACAATCCAATTAAAAAATGGGCACAATACATGAATAGACACTTCACCAAAGAAGATATTCAGGCAGCCAACAAACACATGAAGAAATGTTCACAATCATTAGTAATTGTTGTTGTTGTTACGTGCCATTGAGTTGGCCCTGACCCATAGTGACCCCTCCTTGTGTTTCCGAGGCCTTATCACTATGGAAGTAGATTGTGTAATCTTCCTTTCGAGGAGTGGCTGGTGGGTCTGAACCACCAGCCTTCTGGTGAGCAGTCAAGTGCCTTAGACACTATGCTACCATTAATCATTAGAGAGATGCAAATCAAAACAACCATGAGATACCATCTCACCCCAGCATTAATAGCAAAGTTCAACAAGACAGAAAATAACAAATGCTGGTGATGTGGAGAGATTGGGACTCTCCTACACTGTTGGTGGGACTATAAAATGATACAATTACTGTGGAAATCAGTCTGGCAATTCCTTAAAAGTTGGAGATAGACATACCATTCGAGCCAGCAATTTCATTACTAGGTATATATCCTAAAGAAGTGAGAGGCAGGACACAAACAGATATATGCATACCTATGTTCATTGCAGCACTATTCACAATAGCAAAGAGATGGAAACAACCTAAGTGCCCATTAACCAAGGAATGAATGCTTTGTTAACTGTGGTACTTACATACAATGGACTACTATGCAACCCTAAATAATAATGTTGTTGTTGTTGTTGTTGTTAGGTGCCGTCGAGTCAGCCCTGACTCATAGTGACCCCTCCTTGGGTTTCCGAGGCAGTATCACTACGGAAGTAGGATTGCCCAACCTTGTAGAATCTACAAAACACTGCATAACATGGATGAACTTGGAGGACATTATGCTGAGTGAAGTTAGTCAATCACAGAAGGACAAATATTGTATTAGTCTGCGATTGTAAAAAGTCAAGGAAAGGTTT